GAAGATGGGAGAGAGTTCCAAAGGATTGAAGTGCGGGGAAAAAAACTAGATGAATAAAAGTTTTTAGAGCATGCAGGGACAGATACAGTAAACAAATGAGACTTAGCTGAATGACGAGTAAAACGAGAATGAATTTTAGTTGATGGAACTAGAGATGATAACTCCTTTGAGCAGTGACCATGATAGTATTTGTAGAAAAGAGAAAGAGATGCAACTTTACGACGATGGGAAAGAGGTTCAAGCTTAGCAGATAGTCCAGGTCCAACAACATTTACAATGCGTTTTTGGACCTTGTCAAGAAGAGAAAGTGAATCGTTAGAAGAACCAGCCCAAATATGACAACAGTATTCCATACAGGAAAGAGATTTGTAGAGATAGAGAATGGAATCAGAAGTAAGAAAATGGCAAGCATGATAAAGAGAAGCAACCTTAGCAGAAGCTAATTTAGCAATCGATTGTATATATAGTTTCCATGAAAGGTCAGTAGTAAGCGATAATCCAAGAAGACGTAAAGAGGACGACTCAGTAAGAGGATTGCCATTCATTAATATAGGAATGTTGACATATTACGGTAGTTGTTTGCAGTAAGCAACTGGATTTTTTTAGAGTTGAAATTCACAAGACACTGTGAACCCCAATCTATTACTGAAGTGAGATCGGATTCAAGATCAGCTGCTTGTTCTAGGCGATCGAAAAGAGAAGACTTTTTGTCAAGACAGGAGTATAAAGTTGAGTCATCAGCAAAAAGAGCTACTTTAGATGAAAGGTTGTCAGGAAGATCGTTTATGTAGATAAGAAACAAAACAGGGCCCAGGATGGAACCTTGGGGAACCCCAGAAGTTACTGGAAATAAAGAAGAGTGTTGGCCTTCAAGGATGACTTTAATAAACCGGTTAGAAAGAAATGATTTGATAATCTCAAAAACTTTCCCAGAAACACCATATGAAGCAAGCTTATGGAGAAGACCAGCATGCCAAACTTTGTCGAAAGCTTTAGATATGTCGAGAGCAATAGCCCTAGCCTCACCGTCTCCATCTAATGCACGATAAAATCTTTCAGTTACAGCAGTTAGCAAGTAGGCCGTAGAGCGAGAGGATCGAAAACCGTATTGATTGTCTGACAGTAGTTTATTTGACTCAAGATGAGATGTGAGAAATTTTTGAGGAACTTTAGGAACCTTTACTAATGCTAACTTTTAATAACAAGCATTTCTTAAACTGTTCCTAATGGTCTGGAAATGCATACTTTTATATTAAAATTATCCCATAAAATATTGCTAATTTTTTTTATTAGGGGAAAAGTACATCTTTAAAACTTTAAATTGTTCAATTAAATAATAAAAAGAATAACAATAAAAATATTAGTTTTTAAATATTTGGAACTTTTTTTCTTTTTTTTTTCTATTTAAATTATAAGTGCTGTAAATTAGTTTTCATTTTTTTTAAGCACCTTCATTTTTAGTTAGTCAGAGAAAATTTTAGTGAATAACAGCACTGTGTTTTTATTTATTATATTTAGTTATTTTATATTTAGGTATTTTTTAGCTGTTTTGTACAGCCAAGACAAAATCTAAAGAAACTATCTGTTTTAGATAAATAAAAACTCATTATTCCTGTAATTAGGAAGAAAAAAAAATTCACAAAAAAATTAAAGAACAAAATAAAATAAGATTTTGCAGATTTGACATGTTTCTAACATCTATAAATCTCTTATCTATGTTTTTATGATTTCAATTTTTCTTTTTTTTTTTTAATGTTTTCAGCAAATACAGTCAAGAATTATGGTGTACTTGCAATTTTGAGAGTAATGTTATCAACCAAAAAATATGGAGTTGTTCAAACAGATTTTTTTTTTTTTTTTAAACAACATCACTTTCAACAAGGCAACAAGCAACCACTATTAGAGTTAGGAATTACTGGAAGTGAAAAGATGAAATTTATAGAGTAAATTAATGATTAACCGACAACAGATGCTTGTGTATTATTTCTAGAAATCATTTTAAAAAGGTTTTTTCTAATGCCTAAACCTGCTATTCTCAAGTCACAAAACCTTTTATGATAGTACTTTTCTCAAGTGGCTAAAAGCACAGATAGTACTTTTGGATTTTTTTTTTTTACTTTGTTGATGATTTAAAAAAAAACTTATTGGAAAATGCATCCATGCATCCATCCATCCATTTTTTTTTTTTAATGTGCTAGAATTACAATTTTTTTAATAATGATATATCTCATTTATTCCTTTAGTTTGTTCAATTGGATAAATAGGACCAGAATCATTTCAAGTTCAACCACTAGAGTATTCCTAATTCATTATGTTTCCTCCATCATGCTTAACAGTTGGCACTTCCAAATGTTAATAATCCAACTAGCAAATTCAAATCAAAATATCATTATGATGCCTTACATACCTAATTGTGTCAGAACCATAAACTTACATACCTAATTGTGTCAGAACCATAAACTTACATACCTAATTGTGTCAGAACCATAAACTTACATACCTAATTGTGTCAGAACCATAAACTTACATACCTAATTGTGTCAGAACCATAAACTTACATACCTAATTGTGTCAGAACCATAAACTTACATACCTAATTGTGTCAGAACCATAAACTTAGATTTACTTCTCATGAACCTAGACAACTTATTTAAACTGGGGGTGAGGGGGGTGAAGACTATGAAGAGCAGGGGCGCAAACAATGTCTCTTAAATTTAGAACTTTTCATAATTCTGTAATAAATTCTTATATATCTCTTATATATAGAGCGAGATGGCATGTTTTTAGGGGTTCCATTAATTTATTTTAAGGTGTCAAATACCCTGTATTTGTAGCTGTATTGCTCGCTTTATTACTAATTTCAAGTAAAAAAGGTAATAAGTTTTAAACAACTGGAGATTCAAACGTTTATATGGGAAATATGCGTATAAACGGTCCCATGCATGGGTACATTGTACATGGGATACAAACTGCCTAAATATTATAAATATGATAACAAAAATAAAGTAGTGTTCAGAACATTTCAATATAAGTTAAGCTACTCAATGTATTGGAAGTAACAATTCCTATTTTTCACGTAATTTTTTGCAATTTCACGTAAGGTTTCTGTGGTAATTTAATATTTAAAAATGTTTTTTCTGTTATGAAGTAAAATATGGCTTTTATATATAATGTTTTCAAATTCATATGTGATGCAGAAAGTTAATAAAAATAAGAAATGGTAAGCGAAGATTGGTTTTAAAAAACAAGTTTTATATAGCATGAGATCTTTATAAAACATTATATCAAACTCAAGATTGCTAGAGTAACAGATGCAGAGCCAACAGAAGAAAAGGTAGTAGCATTAGTGAAAGGACCAGTAAGAGATAAAAGTATTGTCAAAACCACTAGAAGTTGATGTAGTATCTAATAAGGCAAGGCTAGCAAAAGATGTCTTCCTAACAGTAGAGACAGTAAGAGATATTGATGAGACAACAGCTCTTGTTAAAGTAATAGTGCAATTTGTATCTACTCCTTCTAGTTTTTTTTTTTTCGCCCTTTAAGACCCTTCCCTTCCGCTTCAGACAACTTCCATTTTAAAGACAAATCACTAAAGTAAATCATCAAAAGCATAGTTACTACAAAAACTACAATCATGACAAACTTTATTTATTTTTTTAACCATAAAATCAAAAAATTACAAATTTAATTATAAGTTACAAAGTTAGGTCACTCATATAGTTAAAAACTAGTCAATAGAGTGACACCTTAATGAGATAAACAAATAAAATAAAAATAAAATAAACAAGGAAAACAAGGAAATAATAATGAAAGTAAACTACATTAATACAAGTAATAAAAAAAGTAGTAATAAGAACAATAATATTAAAAAAGTTGAAATCAGAACAAAAATATAAAGTAGTAAGGCTGAGAAAAATGAAAAAAAAAAGAAGAGAGAATGAACGTATAAGATGAGTGAGAAAAAAAATGGCAGAGAAAACATATATGTATCTATCCTTTTGAACATATATTTAATCATATATGTTCAAAAGGATAGAGTAAGAGAAAAAAATTTTCGCAGAAAAATATAAAAAAGCAAAATAAAGGCAAACTTAAATTTAAAAAATATATACATACACTACTACATACAATATTAAAGCCTATATTACGAATTACATAGATTAGTTAAACAAAAGTAAATATCAAAATAAAGAAAAAGAAACAAATAAACTGACTGAAAAATACAAAAAAATAAATACAATAACATTTTTTATATACATAAATACATGACATATAAACAATGTACAAAATTAATTAAAATTGTTCTTTTTCTTGTTTTTCTTTCATTTTATTGTTTTTCTTTCTTTTTATTGTTTTTCTTTCTTTTTATTGTTTTTCTTTCTTTTTCTTTTTTTTCTTTCTTTTTATTGTTTTTCTTTCTTTTTCTTTTTTTTCTTTCTTTTTATTGTTTTTCTTTCATTTTCTTGTTTTTCTTTCATTTTCTTGTTTTTCTTTCTTTTTCTTTTTTTTCTTTCTTTTTCTTGTTTTTCTTTCTTTTTCTTTTTTTTCTTTCTTTTTATTGTTTTTCTTTCTTTTTCTTTTTTTTCTTTCTTTTGCTTTTTTTTTGTTTCTTTTTATTGTTTTTCTTTCTTTTTCTTTTTTTTCTTTCTTTTGCTTTTTTTTTGTTTCTTTTTCTTTTTTTTCTTTCTTTTTATTGTTTTTCTTTCTTTTTCTTTTTTTTCTTTCTTTTTGCTTTTTTTTTCTTTCTTTTTATTGTTTTTTTTTCTTTGTTCTTTTTCTAAAATTTTCTTTTTCTTTCAATTTCTAAAATTGTTCTTTTTCTTCAATGTACAAAATTAATTAAAATTGTTCTTTTTCTTTTCTTGTATTTTGTAATTAGGTTGTATCTGTTCTTTATACAATTTTAATAAAGAGTTTTAATAATATGAAATGAATTTAATAAGAGATTGTAATAATGTGAAATGAATATTTACTTAGCAAAATTTAATTTTTATATATAGTGTTTATTCGTGATCAAATAACTCCTGATGGAACGTGCCATGCAGGAATTATATCATACGACGTAAGTTTAAAAGGTGGATCTGCTGCCGGTAACTTTACGCCTCACGGAAATATTGGTAGCATGGAGAAATGCATATACAAATGTTGTCAGTCGGAAGGATGTAGCGTTGCTATGATGTTAAGAGACACTTGTTTCACCGTTGTGTGTGCACGAGATGAATTGTGCGAAAAAAAGCAAACCCCTACCTCAAGCAATTTTAATCCTAAAATAGCGTATGTGTTTAAGAATAAAATAAGAAGACCTACATTTTCTCCGGTAAAAGGTAATGCAACATTGCATAATTGAAATTACTTAACTTAAAAGATAATGCAACATTGCATTATTAAAATTGCTTAGTTTAAAAGATAATGCGACATTTTAATTAAAGTATCCTAATGTTTTAGTTCGTAAACGGTTTTTTTTTTTATATTTTAGAACCACATTACAATCATAAAAAAAAGTCTCCAAAAAAAACTTTGCTTGCAGAACAACTTTATGCGCTTACCAACTCGCCAACTTCGTTCATTTCTCAATTGGAAGCATTTCCTGTCACTACATCATCAGCATATCACTCTACAATGACATCTTTGCACTCTACTACAAAGAAATCAACACTTACCTCCAAAACACCTAAAATCAAGATCTCTATTCCTCACCACGATAATGAATCACTTTCAAATGCAATTTATAAATCCTCGTCAAACGATTTGATTAAAAATTTTGAACCGCCGGATGACAGCTTTTTAAATTTCTTTTTAGAGCGTGAACAAAATGTCAACAATCAAACTTCTTCGTTTAATGAAACGTTAAATTTAAAATGTGACCGAGATTGTATAAATAATGAAGCCGACTTTCAATATTCAAAACCTCGTCTCGAAGGCGTTATAAATGTAACGAAATCGTTTAAGAAAACATCTAAAAACGCTTACGAAACTAATGCGGACAGCGTTAATGATACATTATCATCGGTTACATCAATTCGCGCTAGTTTAAAAAAAAACGTTACTTTAGTTGAGGACGATCCCAATTGCAAATCTAGTGAAGTTTTTTATAATGTCACTTTACGTGGAGGGCTGCGATCAGGGAAGTTTAAAGACAGAGGCGAAATGGAAGATATTAGACAATGCGTTAAAATTTGCTGTCTTCTTGAAAACTGCGATCTCGCATTTATGCTTTCTAAGACATGTTTTACTGTTGATTGTATCGACGATAGTTTATGCGACGCTGTGCCAGCTCGCTCAACAATATACTCGCCTTCTATATGTTATGTTTATGTCAAAAATACTCCTAATACGGAAACTTAAAAATAGAATATGCAATCTTTTCATGATAACTAACTAAAAATCAAATATGTAAATAGAAAAATAATTTTGTAAGTTTAATCAATTATTATTATTATATATATATATATATATATATATATATATATATATATATATATATATATATATATATATGTGTGTGTGTGTGTGTGTGTGTGTGATATATATATATATATATATATATATATATATATATGTATGTGTATATATATGTACTTGTTTATATACTAATATATATATATATATATATATATATATATATATATATATATATATATATATATATATATATATATATATATATATATATATATATATATATATATATATATATATATATATATATATATATATATATATATATGTATCATGTAGCTCATATGCATCTTTTTTTATTTTATTTGTAATGGTCTAATTTTGCTCTTTTAACGTTAAATTAGTTGTTTGTTTGAAACAGTTATTCAATAAAGCCAAGTAAATAGCTAAAATGTGGGTCAGCTAATTACTGACCCACTATTTACTTTAAGCTTAAATAACGCTTCACACATATTATGAAGAGTTTTGTTAATATTTTATTAGGATTTTCCTTGCGGTATTTTAGCGGTTTGTTTTAAAATAATAAATCTTGAATTTCCTAAATTGACGCTTTTTCATTATTTAAGTGTGAAAAAACGACGGGTTAAAAAATGAATATAATATTGGAATGAATCATAAGTTGCAAAAAACGCCTTGGTTCTATTTTAAGGTGTAGGCGATCTTGAAAAGTAAAACTTTAAAATAATGAGCTTTAGAAAACTCTTTTAATTCCTATGAGATTTAATGTTCTCTTATTACGTTCTTGACTATGTCGATAAAAATGGCGGTTTAAAAATACGCATAACATTAAATAGTTATATTTTATTCTACTTAAAGAAAAGGCAATTTAGAAAGCCAATTTTTTAAATCAAACTTATTCCAGTGCAGAAAATTAAATTAGTATTTAAAAAAAAACCTGTTTTCAAAACGTTTCCTGAAATACAATCTAAAAGTGAAATACCGATACTCAATTTTGACATTCAATTTTATTTAAATACAATTTAAATATTTAAGATTTTTTTTTTATGGTCTTTAAATATTATTAAAGACTTATAAATTTTTGAAATGATGGTCAAGATTTTCTAGGTAACGGTTTAAAAAAAAAAAAGATAATTTTATCCTTTTTTATTTATTCATTTACTTTTTACAATCGAATTTCACTTTTCGTAACTTAAAGTCCGACCAAAAAATACGTAAAAGCCGACAGCATTCATTCAAGGTAGAAATAACGGGAGTGTATTCAGTATTGATAAACAATGGAATGCATTTATTCATGTCTTAAAATGGTGCATATTTAGTATTGATGAGCTTACCCAGCACGCTCGAATGTCTGTGATTTGAAATCAAAACTAATAAAGTTTTATTCTAAAGCGATCTGTTTTGCATAGCGGACCATATTGAAATTTAAATATTTTCTCTCTTCATAAAACTCAAACTGTTGTTGCGAACAAATTTGAAAACAAAAATTTAAGTTCGTACAAAAAAAGTATGAGTAATCTCGTCGCAAACGCGAAGATGGACGATGAACGTCAAGTTACATCTGTTTCTCTTGAAATAGAGAACATAGAGTTACAAGCCACTGTTGACAGTCAAGGAGAATTAATTAGCAGAATTACTGAAGATCTTAATAATGTACAACGAGCACGTGATTATACTTCAGAAATTGAAATTATGGGTCGAGAACAAATATGCATGGACCTTAAGGAGCAACTGGAAGGAAAAGAATTAACAATTCAACATTTGAAAAATGAACTCGCATCCTCGCAAACAATTACTGAAGAGGTTTACAAAAAGTACCAAAGGTTTGGAAATTTTCATATATTTTTATTAACCCCGTAATTGCCAGTGCATTCATCAAATTTTTTTTTTTTAAATGTGCACGCATCGGGTCTTTTTTTTTTTTTTTTTTTTTTTTTTTTTTTTTACAAAAATGATAAGTCTTAAGAGTGTGATATAAAAAAAACTATCGGTATTAATTTTTTTTTCTTATTATGGGTGTTTTATTACGATATTAAAACTCTGGTTAAAAAAATCTTAAAAATTTTGCCCCCCAAAAAAATGTTTTCTGCTTTTAGACTTTTGTAACAATTTTATTGAAGAATTTTGAGTAATAAATTTTTTATCGATCAAACTATATCAAGCAACAAAAAATTCCCAATTCACTTTAACAAATATCATACAACGAAGCACATTTTTAAACTAAATTTAAAAAAATATTTCTTTTAGGACTATTAGAGAATTTTTAGAACAAACTTCATCACTTAACTGTTAATCTAGTAATGAGGTCTCTTTTAATAGTTTTTAAGCATAAATCAAAGTCGCAAGTTTTGAATTTAGTTAACTTTAGATATTAATATGTTTGTGCTTTATTATCGCAACAAATATTAACATAAACGAAAACTCCAAAATTATGAACAAATTCCAAAAATATTATTATTAACAAAAAATACTGGCTTAAATTAGCTAAAAATGACAAGAACAATAAAACGAAACCTATAATTTATTAAATTTAACATTTTTTGCAAGGTTGTCAAATTAGACTATTATTTTTACCGGTTTTCACTTAGAATAAAATGAAAAACAAGCTAAATGTACTTAAAAAAATATTTTAAATTGAAAAAAGGAACACAACCGTGTTTTGTTTTTTTAATTTTTTTTTTTAATTTTTTTTTTTTTACCCCCGTTATTTACGAAATCAAAATAAATAATTAATTAACGCCGAGAGAAAAATATTCGATTTCGAAAAAATTCGTTAAAGATCTAATAAACTTTTGCGGGGGATCATAGTTTAAATATTAACACAACTTTTAATCTATTAAATAACTTTTAAAATCATTTTTTAAAGTAAATGAAAAAAAAGATAAATTTTTGATCCGCATAACTTTACTTTTAGATATTAATTTACACAAAACATAACTTTAATTGCTCAAGACAGTTTACATAAATTTTGTTCTGAATAAATAAAGAACCTTATTCTATTTTTTATTTTGGCAATCTGTAGTCGAAAAGTCTGGAAACCAAACTTTTTAACTAAAATGTTTGTTTTTTTTTAATGTCAAACTTGACATTTTATTTTTAAAAAAGAATCCACAAATCTTTTTTGATCTTGAATAAAAATTATTAAAATGTCACAAACCACAATTAAATAAAGTAGTTGCGACGGCTAGTCAACTTACGACGGCACGTCAGAAAGTCAGTAAGTTGACTAGCCGTCAACTTACTGACTAAATATATAGGGCTTTTGCCTAAGACTGATGTGCGCTTAAATTGCACAAAGCATTAAATAGATTTGCGATTAAGTATTCGACATTTTCTTTACGTAAACTTTTCTCGAAATTTAGCATAATATATAAAACTTCAAACTTTTTTTACTTTTTAATATATAAAATAAAAATTCATGATGGTTTGATAAACATAATTGTTGATAAATGCTTTTGCGTTAACAATATAGAGTATAAATGATAAATCATTTTGCATGGTAAAATGTATATTGTGATAAATGATGAATACTTTTGCGTGATAAATGTATTGGCATAATAAATGTACTGAGTGATAAATGAGTAACATCTTTAGAGTGAGATAAATGATGAATATATCTGCGCTTTAATGTATTTATCCGATGAAATGGCAAGTGTAAATAATGAATATATTTACTAGATAAATGTATTTGAGTAATAAATAACGAATGAGTGATGCGATAGATGATAGCCATAAATGAGTGATGAGATAATTTATAAACACATTTTTATGATAAAATGATAAATGATCATCTATTTAGTTAATAACAGTATTTAGTAAAATATTTAAGAAATAATTTTTTTTTAATTTTAGAAACGAAACCATTAAATTTTAAATAAAAGTTTGGATTTTCTTAAATCTAATTGAATTTTAAATTTAAAAATTTTTGTTTTAAAAATATAATTCTAAATAAATGGATTTAAATGCATTTTAAATATGTTTTCTTCATAATTTTGCAAGAGGAAAATAAGTAAGCCTCAAAACCAATGCCGTGGCTAGTGGCCCCCCTCCCCTAAACTGTTAAGGGCCCCTAAATTTGCAAATAGGCCCCATAAATTTGCTTGGCACCCTCCTCCAAATTGGGGGAGGGGGTTGTGAGACGGCTCTGCTGAAAACTAATATTAAAATAAAAATGTATAAAATGATATTATTTTTAACTACAAAAAAACAAATCTTAAAGATAAACACTTCTAATTCTATTTTATAGAGAATAAAAATTTTAAAATAATATATTGTTATGGAAATTTTAGTTCTTATTTTATAGAACTAAATATTTTAAATTATTTTTAATCGTTTATCAGCTGAAAATGTTAAATATTAAAAAGCATATATTTAATAAAAATTAGTCGCTTTTGCGTAATTACAACAAAACCTTTTGGCAATCAGTTAAAATCTTAAAAAATTGCTTAACGTAATATATATATATATATATATATATATATTCTAAAATAAAAGTTTAACTTCTATAAGCCAAGTGTCTAACGACAACCGACTATAGTAAACCAACTCAGAAGAGAACGAGTCAGTTTGTCATAATTGTTTTTAAATTCGTTGATAGAATTATATATATGCATATATATATATATATATATATATATATATATATATATATATATATATATATATATATATATATATATATATATATATATATATATATATATATACATATATATATATATATATATATATACATATATATATATATATATATATATATATATTATATATATATAATAGTACACGACTTCATCGAAATGCAAAAGACAAAGCCATTCGTCAGTTACAAACTGAAATACAAAACCTTCACGATTTATTGGAAACTGCTCAAAAAGAGAAATTGGTCTTTGTGGATAAAATGCGACAAATTCAAAATGAAAAAGCCGGCCTTGAATTTGATTATCAATGGATGGTTGAAAAAGTAATTTTTTTTTTAAATCACTTTTAGCTATATCATGTGTATATCTTTCATTATACTTTTGTTTTTATTGTTACTATATACATGTATATACAGAGACAATTCTAAAAATAAAATGAGGGGGGGGGGGTGAATCCTCGATGGTCTTAAATGTTTATTATTATGACTAATAATCTGTTTAATTTAGCTTAAAGCGCATCAAGATGTAACCGATGGTCAATTAACGAAAACCATTACGTCAACAAAAATCAAGCGCACAACTACAACTCGAATTGATAAAAAACAAACCACCACTATACAGCAATACGAAACGGACGAGCATATCAGTCCCGTAGATAAAAATTTTGAAAAACTGGAGCAAGGTTGTTTTAATCAACCACTTTTAAAATAATTTTTGTATCATTGTATCAGAGCCCGAACATTTTTATGTGATGTCAAGGCAAAAAATGAAGCTTTTAATTTAACATTTATGCTGTCTTTTTGAAAAATCTGCACCTTTTTAAGCAAAATTGTTTAAAAATTAACATGTTTTTCACAATTAGAGATTGTCCGCTGATCTTTTGCACCTATCCAATATTTCTTTTTTTCTGCTATCTATAATCATTCTTTAATCTCATTTTTTGCCTCTGCAAACATAAAAACGGGAGCTTTGAACAAATATTGGAGTGATATTAAAGTCATGTTAAATTAAAAAAATATAAGTTAATGAACATAAAAACGTTGTTTATAAAAAAAAAAAAAAAATGTTTTTTCAAATTTTTTCTCCTAATTGAGTCTGCGACTGAAATTTAAACTTTTTTAAAGGATTCACCAAAGCTATGAGCGCAAAAGATGAGGAGTTGATGAAAGAAAAAGAAGCATTAATGACGGAGTTTAAAAAACTCCAAACGCAACTTAATGATCTGAAAAGAATACATGAAAACTATTCGCGCGATTTAAAAGAAAAAAACGACCTAATTGCTCTACTCAAAGCTTCAAAAGAAGCGCTTTCTCGTGAGTTGGAGATGTTATCGCAGGAAAATCAAGAGCTAAGAGAAATCAATGAAAAACTAAGCACTGACAACTATCAACTTCGTTCTGAACTAAGTTCTGCCAACAATCAAACATCTACAATACAAGTTCAGCTTGAAAATGCAACAAAACAACGAGACTATTTAAAAAACCAAATCGAGATCATAACCCAAAGCACTACAAAAGGTAAATATTTTTGTATATTTGTAACTCATATATGCCAACTTTAAAACTTTATATCCCAACAATAAAAAAAACACGTATATTTTTCAAGAATGAAATGTAAACTTGTTGCGAAAAGGATTTCGTACTACATTGTGGTTAAAATCTAGCGTTAAAAAAAGAACGTATTCAAACATAGTGTCAAAAATAGTTAAAAATAATATAACAAATTGTTTTAAAATATGTTCAAAAAATTAATTAACAATATAATAAACAATTTATTCTTTAAGAGTTATAATTCGTAATTAACTTTTGATTAAAAAAAAAAAAATAAATAAAATCTTTCCAAAATATTAATTTTTAGGAAAAGAAGACTTTCACAAAATAGAAGCCCAACTTCGAGATTACCAGAGAAAAATGGATTCTATGACTCACGACATAAACAGCAGAGATACGTTAGTAAAAAATTTAAAAAAGAAGATCACAACTTTAGAAGATGAATATGCAAGTCGTACAGCTGAATTGAATGCATGTATAGTTACCAAAGATAGCTTAATGCAACAAAAAGCGGATGTTGAAAGGGAGTTAAAGGTATCTTTATTATTTTTTTTTTTCTATGAAGAATTCTACTTTTACTTTTGTTTTCAAACAAATAATAAAATTTTTAGGAAAGACACGATAGAATGTGTGAAGTTGAACAGGCGTACGAAGAAATGCAACTAAGGAAGACGACTCTCCAGCAAGAACTGACGGAACTGAAAAAGAATTTGAGTAGAATGAGTAGCGATGAAGATGCAACAATTCAGGCTAAGTCGCAGCTCAAGACTGAGGTAAAGATCAAAATATATATACAAGTTACAAAATTATTTTAAGTATTTTGAATTAGCATTTTTTGTAAGGTGGTTTATCTAGCAGTGTTGCATAATTTACTTTAGATTCTTGCCGCTCACAAAAGAATTTCACGTCTTGAAGCTGCGTACGAAGCCAGTCAACAAGAAAAACTTGAACTTCAACAAGAACTTGCTCCTGCAACTCAACGTTTGTTACTCATGCGTGGCGCATACGAGACGCTTCAGCAGAAAAAAGAAGTCTTACAATTCGATCTTATTTCGTCACAGAAACAAGCGGTCGAGCTTAAGGCTTACAACGATAGGTTGAAACAAGAACGAGCAGAAATCATGACAGAAGTAGAGTCTTGCAAACGACGTGTAGCCAAAAGTGATATTGAGTTAAAAGAAGCTTCAAAGCAGTTGGCTATTTTTAAAAACAAGTTGGATGAGTGCAATCGACAGTTGAACGGTAGCCGAGACGATGTCCTTAAAAAGCAACGCAAAGTTGAAGAATTACAATATAAATTGGAAGCTATAGCACGCGAAAATGTTCAAAGGGATTCATTTTTTGAAAAACTAAAGCAAGAGCGACGATTGTTTGAAGAAGAGCTCAAGTTTGTAACTAATGATTTAGAAAAGTCTAAAGAGGAGGTTCGAAATCTGCAACAACATAATGATCGCCTTATAGAAGAAAATAAAAGTCTTCATGAAAGACTACTTAATATTGAAGGACTTGCGCAGCAGGTAGGTTTAATATATTTATTTAAAATGCAGTTACAAGTGGCTTTAGTAATTTTAAAGAAGGAAGCATTATAAACACTTTTTATGCCACACGTCTTATAAAATTCCCTATCTAATAAAAATAATACATTTTATTTAAGTCTACATTAAAATCTTATATAAGTTTTAACCATTCAAAGTTTTGCAATATAAATAAAATTAATAAATATAAATTTAAACAAAAACGTGCAATGAGTGATGCAGTGGGTAATTCAATGGGTAATGTAATGGGTGATATAAATGTAGAAAATAAAACTTAAATACAACTAAGTTAAAATTTAATAGAATTTAATTAAATGTCGAAATTGGAAATTACTTTCCAGAAAGCACCACAATCTAAAAAACATAATAAAATAATAATAATCAATATGTTATAATGGTATATAACGTTAAGACTATAATGTATATTCAACAACGTTTCCAGGCAAAAACAGAAAAAGAGCGTTTCTTAAGAGACTCAAACAATATGGAGATGTCTGTCGGCGAATTGAGAAACCTTAGTCATAAGCTGCAGGAAGATAAGGAAGATTGTGAACGAGAACTTTATATTCTTCAAAAAAAGAGCATAAAACTCGAGAAAGAACTCGAAAAGTTAGGTAGAGAGAACAGTGAGATGGCTCGCGAAATTAATGCCAATAGAACCCGTCACTTGCAACATGACTCAGTGATTCAAGAATTTAAAAGAAAAGAACAAACTATGAAACAGCAACTAGATGATGCATTAAAACACAGAGAAGAGCTTAATCGGGTCAAAGCCATGGTTGTTGATTTACAAAAAAGACTTGATGCAACTCTTAAGGTAATAATTTATATGAACAGGTTTAGAAAAATCAAGATTTTTGCTTTAAGATATATATATATATATATATATATATATATATATATATATATATATATATATATATATATATATATATATATATATATATATATATATATATATATATATATATATATATATATATATATATATATATATATATATATATATATATATATATATATATATATATATATATATATATATATATATATGTTTCTTTTAATATTCTTATTTTTAAATTGTTAACACATTTCATATATAGATTTAAAAAACTTTTTGCCAGGAAAATGAACAAAAAGATAACACGTGCAATCAACTTAAAAACGAAAAGGAAAACTTTAAACGTGAAAATGAAAAGTTGCTTCGAGACATTGAAAGTTTCAAAACTACGTTTGATTCAATGTCACGAGAAAAGGAACGAATGAACAAAGAATTGAGTGCATGTAACCGTCGATCAACCGATTTAGAAGTACTTATCAAACGTTTACAAGACGAGAACGATAGTTGCAAAAAGGCTTTGCAAACATATGAAGTACGAGTCCCAGGACTTGAAGAAGGGTTGCAAAAGCACAAGATAAACCAATCTGTTTATGCACAAGAGGCATCCGCTCTTAAGCAATCTAATACACGATTAGAAAAAGAACTGCAGTTGATGAAGGATCAGCACACCACCCTTCATTTGCATATCGGGCAGTACGAAGACAAACAAGATGGTTAGTTATTCTCAGTAAAAAAAAAGATTAATCTTTGTTAAAAATATTTATTAAATTTTTTTTTTTTCTGAGAAAGTTAACAAAAACTTATAACAAAATGAGTTAATTACTTCAAAGTTAAAAAAAAAGTAAATAGTTTTGTTAATTTTTTTCAATTTCTAAATCAAAATTTATTTTAGAAAAAGATTTAGCTTAAAACGATAATAAACAATTCTTTTTATTCTTTTAATATTTTAGCCATTTCTAATGACCTTAAAGCGGCATTAGGTCGAATATTTGAACTCGAAGCCTTGAATGAAATAGTTCAACGTGAAAATGAAGAACTAAAACGAAATGTAGATAACAAATACAGAATTCTTGAAGAACAACTTTTAACTGCAGACCACCTTAATGCGGACTTGAAAAATCAACTAAATGAAGCACGTATGAGGTTAGTTGTTTTTAAATATATATATATTATTATTATTTCTGAAGGCCTAAGCACCAGACCTTTCATTATTACTTTATTGCAATAATCTATAAATTGATTCTTGCCAAAAAAATTAATCTTTAAACTTCCAAATATTTTTATTTGTCTTTCAACTACATCTGTCCCATTGTTGTTAATGTGGTGAAACACAAGTTGAAAATGAAATCAACTTTGTAATAAAAAAAATTTGTAAAAATTTTGTATAATAAAGTTTTATGATAAGCTAGAAAAAAGATAATGATAGAGGCAATGGAACCGTTGTCTGTGTTTTTGAATAGCTTTTATTTTTACTTTAGATTTAAATAGGAAAGAACAAACTCAAAAAATATAATCTATTCCATTTTTTATAAGTTATTTTTTATTACTTTACTTTTTTTCTTTTGAATTTATAACAGTTTTACACCAGATTTTCTGCTCTATTGAGAGCAATGAACAATATTATGTGTTTTAGATTAAAATTAAAATAGTAATATTGTATTAGATAACTATTAAAACTGTTTAAAGTAACCAGAAAATAATAGCTATGGTGAAATCAACAAATTTGTCAAAAATGATATGCAATGATCTGTAAGACTTTATGTCTTTGTCCAGATGTAACATTAAAAAATGTTACTAAGACGTAGCTGACAAATTAGCTGCTTTTATCATCATTTTTGCAAACTTCGGCTTGTCAAGAGATTTTCCAACAACAAAAATGTAGAAAACATTATTTATTGGAAATAAAAGTTTTCTATCATATAAAACAGAGCAGCCGTGGCGCAATGGTTAGAGTTCTGGCTCAGAATCCAGAGGTCCAAAGTTTAACGCCAGCTCTAGACCAACAAACGACATTGGTATAGGAGGCGTGAACTTCCTGTTAAATGCTCTCCCGCGGTGCTCTATGATAAGACCGTAAGGACTTCTGGGAGCATCTATATACATCCAAAAAAAAAAAAACTGTGATAAGAAAAAATTAAAAGATAACTACAGAACAATCTTAGTGTTTAGTGTATTTTAGTGTAATCTCAGTGTTTAATGTATTTTCTATAGCATTTGATAAATAGAGCAGCCAACTTTATAAATACTTGAAACCAAGCCAACTTCTCCTTTGTCTTCGAATTAGAAGATGGCTTGACTTTAGTTCTTAGCTTCAACCATAATTGCAATAAACAATAATAATGCTTTTGGTTATTTTTTAGGGAAACATGAAAACTAATATGGATGCATGGGAACTAACTGTTTATCTTGATTAACAGTTAGTTCCCTTGCATTCTCTAATGTTAAGATTTTTTTTCAGGGGGCCGATTCCATAAAGTCTAAATGTATTATTACATTTGACTTTAATATCCTCTGATTTTTATATATATAATTATCTTTATATTGTTGTACAGTTTATCACCAAGTCAAAGAAAATGTGTAACTACACAGCTAGACAAAAAAAAGAGAGAAATATTAAGGCACTAGTAATCATTAAACTTGCCTAGGATCTTTTTACTGCATTTTATGTTTTTATTTATAAGTTATAATACACAATTTAGATATAAAAAGCACACTGAAGACTATAGAACAATCCAAAGAGAATACCATGAATTACAAACAAGATGGGATGGAAGCAGCAATGATGCCGCTGGTAAAGACAGATTAATGGAACAATTACGTAATGACCTCAAAAACGCAAGAAATGAGCTACAAGTAAGTTATTTTGGAACAATTTTAGTGTTTAAAAAAAAAATTTAACAGTGGCTCAAGGTAATCAATTATGTAAAAAAAGATAAAATTTGGATGGTTAGGCAGAGGAGGGGTAAAAAGCGAACATGACCTTTTTAGTTTGAATTAACAATATAAAACAACTTTTACAATCTATTAAAAAACAAATTATTTAGGTTTTTGTCCTAAGTTTTTTATTTGTCCTCTTGAATTTTAAACAATGGTCGTAATTGTTTTTAGCTATAAAGGTACAGAAAACCTGGAAGTTTCAGCTTCCTTACATACTAAATTCACTTAATTGGCAGGTGCTGGCATCGAAACACTTGGTTTGGAACCAGAAATTTAACACGGCTGCTTCTTGTTTCTCTTTGTTTTAGTTTCTACCATATTCTTTAAAGTTTTATAATTGCTCAAATTTTCGAACTCTTTTTAGAAAAAATTTTTTATTGCAAAATTAGTTTTCTGGCTTCTAAATATTTTATTTTTCGCAGCCTATCACAGTATGTCTTTTATTTTTCGCAGCCTATCATCATATCATGTCATCACAGTATGTCTTTTAATAGTATCTACCTTTTCTTTAAGTTGAAAAGTTAAATATTTTGGCGTTCATTATTTTTGAACGCTAAAATATTATTCTATGGAATTTAAAATTTATAGATGAACATAAATTTAGTAAAAAAAAATTATTAACATTTTTCTTTTACGTTTGGAACAAGGGCTTCGAATATTGGGGCTTTTATATTTGTATATTGGGGCTTTTATATTCGTATTTTGGGGCTTTTTTGTTCTTTGGTTCCAATTGTTTACTTTTTTGCAAATCATCGTTATTTGAAATAAGTAAAAACATATAAATATTTAGAGTTTGCTTCATTTCTAAAAGATATATATATATATATATATATATATATATATATATATATATATATATATATATATATATATATATATACATATATTTCAAGGTTGCCTTACATGATGCCGAAAACTACAAGTCACTTGTCGAAAGAATCCAGGAAGAGCACCACGAATTAGCAAACGAACTTAATGATCATAAACAACGTTGTTATGAATTGGAAGGTTTATACAAATCAAGCGAAGAAGAAAAGGTAAAATGTGTTTTTTATGCATGGCTGAACTTGCTATTGAAAATTTAATTATAATGAACATTGGAAATACGTTTTTAAATATAACAGTACTTTAACTCATATATTTAAATATAACAATACTATATTTTATATTTAAATATAATAATACTATATTTTATATATTTTTTTAGGATAAAATATTACGTGATGTAACTGATTGGAAGAGTCGGTGCACTGATACGGAAACAGACTTTCAGGTGTTTCAACGTGACTCTGACAAAGAAATACGTGGACTCAAAGCTAAGATTGCAAAGTTGGAAGCTCACACTGATATGGTAATTAAAGATCGTGATTATACTAATGATCAATTAGAAGCTGAAAGAGCTCAATCACAGAAATACAAGGAAGAATTCGAGCGCGTGCAACGTGAATATTTAGAACATCAAAAAGTATGCGAGCGATATGCAGATCAAATTTTGGAAAGAGATAAAATCATTGAAGATTTGCGAAACAAGCTTTACAAGATGGAAGTTGATATGGATATCTTTAAAGAACAGTTAAGTAAAGCCCAAACTGCTGAACAGATTGCCTTACAAAAAAAAGAGAAAATTGAAAAGAAATTGAATGCATCTGAAGCAAAAGTAAAAGATTTGTCAGACCAAAACGAATCTCTCAAAAATCGCATTATTGAGTTGGAGCGACAAAATAATGCGTTGGAAACACAAGTAGATGATCTTCTTAAAGAAATCAAAGCGTTGAAAGATAGAGTAAAAGATCTTGATGATGTAATTAGAGATTCTCGAAACAAAATTATTTATTTGGAAACAGAAATAAATTCAATTCAACATTTGCTTAATGATAGAGATGCAACAATTGCAAAACTTCAAAGTGACTTGGACAATGCACATGATCAAATCAACTCATTCCGAAAACACATTAGTGAGCTGGAAACTACTCTTGACCTGCTTGAACAAGAAAAAGATGATTTGCAGTTACAACTTAACAACTCAGAACGACAAAAAGATGAGCTTAAAAACAACCTTGATAAAGTTGTTCAAGAGGCTCAATTAATTGAGTCTGAACTATCAGCTTTGAAACAAAAGCTTGCAAAAATTGAGCCACAACTTCGTGCAGCAAATAAACAACGCGATGAATATAAAAACAACAACGAGCATCTAAAGAAAAAGCTACAAGAAGCTAAAGATGAGCTTTCAAAAACTCAGCGTCAGCTTACAGATACCCAGCGAGCTTCTGATGGCCTTAGAAAAGAATTAAGACAAAAAAATCAGCTTCTTGATGAGATGCGTGCAAAAATAGCTACTTTAACTGGACAGTTGCAAAGCGCACGTGATGAGTTGGTCCATAAAAATCAAGAGTTTGATTCTCTTTCAGATGATTATAGAAGTCTTCAGGAAGAACTTATTCGATTGCGTCAAAGAGTTGGCGACTTGGAATCTGCAAATCAGATGCTTGCTGTCGAAAAAGATCGCTTAAAAGAAGAGCTTATTGCTTTTAACAACAAATACGATGATCTCAAAAACAAGTTTGAAAAGTCTGAATACAATCGCTTAGAAGCGCAAAGACAAGCTCTAGCTTATGAACAACGTTTAGCAAAGCTTGAACCTCAACTTCAATCCATTTTGAGAGAAAATTCAGAACTTCATCTACAAGTTGATAAGTTTGCAGAAGAACTTAGAATTGCTTTAGAAGAAAATAGACATTTAAATCGCGATATTGAAGAATTGTATCGCGATCGCAATGAGAAGTTGAAGCAAATCTACGAAAGGGATATTATTATTGAGCAATTACGTGCAAAAATTGATCTTTTGGAAAATGAAAATAACAACTTGAAACAGGAAAATGATCGATTGAGAGGAGCTAATGACGCTTTGGAAAATGAAAAACGATCATTACAAGGAAAACTAAATTTAGCAAACAATAGAGTTAAAGAACTTGAAGATCAACTTGAAGCAGCAAAAAGAGCTAAAGAAGATTTACAAGCTTCTTTGTATGAATTACAGAAAAAGTATGTGACATTGGAAACAGCTCACATGAAATGTTCTGATCGCGAAAAAGAACTTTTAAAACAAATTTCTGACTTGAAACAAAAGCTTCAAGCGCTTGAAGATGCACTTAATGATGAAAAACTTAAAAACAAGCAGCTAGAAGCAGAAAATATACATAATCAAGAGCAAATAAGGGATTTAGAAGCTTTAATTGATAGTCTTCGACAAAAAATATCCGATGATGATAAAGAAATTGAGAGACTAAAAGCTGAAAACGATAACTTGAGACACCAACTGATGGCTGCTAAAAAACAAATTGATGATTTAGAGAATCAAATTGGTATTCTTGAACAAGAAAAGAATTATTTGATAGAGGAAAATGATAGACTAAGACAAGAAGTTAATCGATTAGAAAGTGAATTGGACAACTTGATCAAACAAAAAAATAACCTTGCAAATCAGTTAGAGGATGCTAGAAAAGATTTAATGAGATACAAAGAAATAATACTAAAGCTTGAAGGTCAAATAAGGGATCTTCAGAGAACTGTTGAATCATTACAACAAGAAATATTCAGAAAAGACCGCATTATTGAAAAGATGGACGTCAAGACACACACGTACGAAGTTGAAATTGAAAACTTGAAAAACGAAATTATCAATCGCGAAGTTTTAGTAGAAAGCTTAGATGGTACGCGACAAGATTTTGAGATACAAATTAGAAATTACAATGTTCGAATTGAGTCTCTGGAAATAAGAATTGAAAAACTTGTAGTAGAAAAGTCAGAACTTGAACGTAATTATCAAAACGCAGTAAATCGTGCTAATAGCTTAGAATCGCAGTGTCAAGTTTTGCATAAAGAACGAAGTGATTTTAAGAACGACGTTGAGCGACAGTTTGACGACATTCGTGTTGAAAAAGAAGAGTTTTCCCGTTGTCAATCTGAACTTCGCGAAGTAATAAAAACTGTCGAGATTTACCATCAAGAAATTATTGAGAAAACTACCATAATTGAAAAAATTACAATTATCCGACAAGAAGCAGAAAAAGAAAGAGATAATATCAAAAAAGAATGCAACCAACTAAAAGTAGAATACAACAAACTTAAAGATGGAGTAAAAAGAAATCAAAATGAGCTTCAAGCTCAAATTGCTAAAAATACAAAAATTGAGAAGACTATCACTACTTTGAAATCTGAAAGAGACAACTTTAGATTAAAAGCTGATGCGGCCCATAAGCAATTAGTTGTAATTGAAACGCAATTAAAAAGAAGTACTGAACGAGAAAACAGACTTCATGGAGAGCTTGATACTTTGACAAATAAATACAACCAGTTAGAAACAAGCTACCAGGAGCTTCTTAAGCAAAAGAATGACTTAAATGCCAAACTTAAAGATCTTCAGGGCAAATACCGTGATTTGGAAACAAAGTACAACAAAAGCCTAGCGCTCAACAATGATCTAAAAGCCCAACTGAAAGATGCACTTAATACCATAGCAGATCTCAAGTCACAATTAGAAAAAGAAATAAACGATAACAGAGATCTAAGAGATAACTTTGATTCATTAAAAAATCAATTTGACAAACTTAAGGACGATTACCAACGCATTGAACGAGATTTAGCGGATTACAAGTTTAAGTACGCTGATGCAACAAAAGAAATCGCTGAAAAGAAAAACATTATTGATGATCTGACAGCTAAAGTAGCAAATTTGGAAAAACAAGTTGTTAATTACAAACAGATGGTTAATCAGCTTAGAATGGACTATGAAAGAAGTACTAGAGAACAAAATCGCTTACAAGAAGAAATAATTAAGATGCAAGGAACTGTATCCGAACTCGAGAATAAATTACAAAAAGCCGAACTGGAAAATGATAAACTTAAAAAGGAGTTAAACGAAGTTTTAGCTAAACTCTATCTAATGGAAGATGAAATTGAAGATTTAAGGGCTAAGCTTCAAGACGCTCAGGCAGAAAATAGAGAACTTCGCCATGATAATATTCAGCTCAAAGAAGAAAATCAAAACATCCATAAGGAGCTTGAAGACACCAATCTTGAAAACAAAAGAGTCCATGAAGAACTTAGAAAGAGAGATGAGCTGATTGCTCAACTTCGCAGAGCTCGACAAGAAATTGAAAACGAATTAGAACTCCTTAAACAAGATCTTACTGATAAAGAAAAAGAAATTGATGATCTATTTGCAAAGATTCAGGATCTAGAAAATACCTTACAAGGTCTTAACACTAAATTAGCTGAAATAGAACCAGCTTACGAGGCTGCTCGTGATAAAATTAAGAGACAGGAAGCAGGAATTAAAGAACTAAAAAATAAAATTACTGATCTGGAATCCGCGCTTAAACAATCTATGGAGAATGAGAATGAATACAAAAATCGTTATGAGCTCGCTCAATCAAAACTAGGTAAGATTACACAGTTTTTCGAGGATGAAAAACAAAAGGTTCATGAACTGGAAAAGAAACTAGAAAAATTAAAAGGTGAAAATGACGCTCTTACTTTGCAGAACGAGCAATTCAACTCGTTGAACGAGAAATTAGAAAAAGAGAACATGCAGTTGAATAAAAATATTGAAGACATTCAACATCTTCTTGATCAGCTCCAAAAACAAAAAACTAGAGCAGAAAAAGAGTTAGAAGTTGTTGTTAATAACTTGGAAAAAATGAGGAATGATTTCAATATAAATAATCGCGAGTTAAACGAAAAGACAAGACTTCTAGACGGCTTAGGTAAAAAGTGCGACGATATTGAAAGTGCGCTTGAAAAAATAAAGATGGAAAAGGCTACGCTAGAGAAAGAGAACGAAGCCTTAAACCTTTCGTTAAACAATTTGCATGCAATGAGCGATGCAATCCAACGCAGAAAAGAAGAAGTGGAAAGAGAGTACTTTGAAGCGAGAAAGAAAATTACTGAGCTGGAAAATTTACTTAGCGCAGCAATAGACGACAAAAATGACTTAACAAAACATTTGAATGATGAATTAAAAAAAAATAGTTTAATGGAAGCCGAAATTCGAAAACTACGTCAAAATGATGCTCAATTACAGGGCGAAATTAGCGAATCAAAAGCTAGAATTCATCGTTTAAAACTTGAGAACGCCAATCTGAAAAATGCAAACGCTGAGCTAAAAAGAACCATAGATAGGCTAAACAGAGAAAATACAGAACATCAAATTGCTATCAATGGGCTAAACGGTCAGCTAAAAACAATTGAAGGTCAAGCAAATTCGCTGAGAAAAGATTTACAAGATACCAAAAACACTAACAATAAACTGCAAAAGACAATAAAAGATCTAGAACAAGAATTAGATAGATTAAAGGCCCGAGGTATTTCAAATGACCTATTGATTGAAACATTGCGTGACGAAAAAGAAAGATTACAAGCAAACTTGTCAGCTGTTGAAGCTAACTACGGTGAACTAAGGGATAAGTACAATAATTTATTACGAGACTACGGCCTTTTAAAAGACGAACACGCCTTCAACGAAAAAAGAATTAAAGATCTTGAAATAATGATAACAAATTTAAATGGAGAAAACGAGCGTTCAAAAATGTTAATAGCACAATTAAGAAAACAAATTGATGGTAATGAACATGAAATCCAAGGATTGAGAAGAGAAAAAATGAAGTTGGAACAAGTTTCTGATATAGAAATAAAAATTTCAAAAGCTCCTGAAGTTGATGCAGTAGATAATAATGCTGCCCTCCGTAATATAGATGAACTACGCAAGCAGCTTGAAAATTCAGAGATTGCAAAAGCCGCGGCTGAAAATGAAAGAGATGCTTTGCTCAAAGAGCATGTTAGTCTACATAAGAAGATTACAAAACTAGAAGTAATCATTGAATCAACTTCAAGCAAACGTGAAGAATACAAGCAAGCTTTGGCTGCTATGGAAAGAAAAGTCAAAGAGTTGGAAGGTATTAACAACCGATTGACTGACCGAGAAAAAGAATTGCAGTCTGAACTACTTAATGCGCACAAAGAAATGACTAATCTTCAACAAGAAGTAATTGTTTTAAAGGTGAAGTTGAGCAAAAGTGAAGGAGATCGAAGTAGCTTGGAAGGCAAAGTTCAAAAATACTTTAATGAAATTAATGATCTTCATCAAAAACTTGCAGAAGTGCAGTCATCCATTGAGGAGAAAGATGCTGTAATCCAAAATCTGCGCGAGGAGCTGAACTCAGAACGTAAAAACTACGCTCAACTTGAATCTGAAATTGAAATACTGAGAGATGAGCATGATAAGCTTCAGATGCAAATTTCAAATCTACAACGCAAAGCTGAAGAATATGAAAGAGTTATTCACGATAACGAAATAAAGTATTCACAACTTATGCGACAACTCGACGAGCAAAATGCCAGAGGTAAACGTCTTCGAGACGAAAATGCAGAACTTCATCGTAGCATTGGTGAAAAAGAACAAATAATAGAGCGCTACAAACAAGAGGTAAACGAGAAGCAATCGCTTGTTGATAAATTAACAAACGAAAAAAATAAATTAGAAAACGAGTTGGAAGGACTTAAACAAGAACTTGGAGCCATCAAAAATGATCGTGAAAAGTTGCGGCTAGATAACAGGACCCAAAAACAAGATAATCAAACATTACAATTGAAAATAATGGAACTAGAATCAGAAAAAGAAATATTAAAAGACCAAATTTCCCGCCTTTCAAAAGACATTGATAACTTAAGAAACAGTATGCAACAGATTAAAGATGAAAACAATAGATTAATTTCTGAAAACAAAAAGTTCAAACACGAAATTTCTTTAAACAACCGCAAAGCAGACATCCCATCTGACTATGATTCGTTAAAAGACCAAAAGGACAACCTATTAAATCAACTGAAGGAGTTAACGAAAGAAAGCAATGATTTAAAAGGTAAGTGTGCTGCATTAAAGAGCAACAAAAAAGGTTTACTCAAGAAAATTGAAGACATTGAAGCCTATCTTGCAGATAAAGATTTAAGAATTCAAAAACTGGAAGCCGAAAAAGCAGATATTGAAAGAGACATTGATGCTGGAAAGAGCAAGATGAATAAACTTGAATGGGCTGCTGATAATCTTGAACGTGAGAAGAAAGAACTTCAAAATGAACTTGCTGAAATACATAAAAAACACAGCAAAGTAGAGGGTGATTATTACATGGCGTGTGAGAAACGAGACGATCTGCAGAAAGAATTGAACAATGCATTAGAAAAAATTAACCAACTCGAAGAAAATATAAAACGTCTTCAAAATCGTGAATCTAAATTGCATGCTGATATGTTAGAAGCTCAGAAAAAAGTTACAATACTTGAGCACGAAATTGCATCTGCAAAAGACAAAAATGATACTTTGCAACGAGCATATAAACAAATTGAAGATAAACAAAATACGTTAAATGGTGAACTTATGGCTGCAAGAAAAAGAATTTCCGAATTGGAAGCTTTCCAGGAAATTAGCGAAGATCTTAAAAAAGAGTTCCAAGGAGAAATTGATTCAATAAAGCGAAGATACAATGAGTTAAAAGAATCCAATCAAATTTTAAAACTAGAGAAAGAAGGACTTTTGCTAGAAATCCAAAATATTACAAGCAAAATCAGTAAATTTGAGAATAAACTAATGCAAGCTCAAAAAGAAAAAGAATATCTAGAAAGCCAATTAGAAGATGCACGCCACAGAGCTACTATTGATCGCGAAGAAATTATGGGCTTGCAAAAGCAAATTTTAGATGCCCAACGAAAGTACGAATCGGCAGTTAAAGAAATTGCACATTTTAAGTCAACTACTGATGAGTTAAGAAGCAAAAATATAGCACTTTCTAATGAGTTTGAATCTTTCATGAGAGATTTAGAAAACAAACAGTACGAAGTTGATGCGTCAGAAAATGATAAAAAATCACTACGAGAAGAACTAGAGTTATCAAGAAAACGATATAGCGATCTAGAAGCTGAGTATCTTCACGTTCAAGAAGAGAAAGAAAAAATCAGACAAGATATGATTGCATCACATCTATCTGTTTGTAAACTGAAAGAGAAATATGAAAATAGCTTGACAGACAAGAATAAGCTCAGAGATGAACTCACTATTTTCCATCGAAAGATAACCGAGCTTACTTCTTCTTACGACACATGCCGATCGGAGCGTGAACGTTATAAGTTGGATTGTGAAAAATTCCAGGCCCAATATGATGCAATAAAAAATCAGCACGATGTATCCCAGCACTCTGCTAACCAGACTAAGAATGATTTTGAATCTCTCAACAAGAAGAGTCAAAAAATTGAACAATCCTACATTGTTCTTGAACGTGAAAAAGATCGCTTGCAAAAAGAGCTTCTAGATACTCATCGTAAATCCGCAGACATTGCCCTTGCGTTACAGACATGTCAAGAAGAAAAACGATCAATAGAGTTCCAAGTTAAAGATCTAACTGATGAATTGGAAAAAGCTAGATCAGATATTGATTCGCAGAACTCCAAAATAAATTATCTTCAAGAAGAAATATTGATTCACCATAAACAATACGCAAAAATTGAGACAAATTATAACAGACTTGTTGAAAAAGAAGAAAGACTGGAAAAAGAACTTGAAGATGCTCGTGCTAATGTTTATAAGTTAGAATCTGAACTGTCCGATGTACTAAAGAAAAACCAATACTTAGATTCGGAATTGCGTAAAGCTGAAGACCTGGTAAATAAACAAAAAGACAATAGCCAACTGTATTCTGAAGATACACAACGCATGCAAACGAAAATCCGTGAATTTGAGTCAAAGTTTTCTCAGCTAAAAGACGCTGAAGACGAAAACAAAACTTTAAAAGAGGATAACAATTTATTCAAATCCCAAATAACGCGCTTGGAAGTTGAAATTCGTTCAGAACGCAATAAGCACCAGACACTTTCTGATCAATACGAGCAAGCTAAATTCAAGCACGAAAACCTTGATAAAGAAATTTCAGCATTGCAGAAACAAATTCGTCTTGAAAAGGAAATGGCTGAAAAGAATATCAATGAATTGAAGAAGAGCGTTCAAGAAAAAGAAAGTGACGCTGAACGTCTCCGATCAAACGTCAGAAAGTTGGAAATAGAAATGAACGCCCTAAAAACCCAGGTAAATCAGACAAAAAGCGAATACGACGACATATCACGCATTCGACACATTATTGAGCAAGAACTTCAAAATATTTCGAAAAAACTTGCCAATTTTGAAATTACATTTATAACAGTTGAGGATGATAGCGAAAGAAAATATGCCGGTAAGTTATAAATTATCTTTTAAACACGATAAATAAAAATGCATATCAACTAACTCTTTATAATTATGTATAACCTTGAAATAGGTCTTAGCGATTACGAGAGATATTTGTCTGAAATCAACCGCGTGTTTACAAGAACTGAAAAGGAATTCCAACACCAGGAAATGCGCCACAAGTATCTTGAAGACCAAAAGGAACAAGAGCGAAAAGGAAAATCAAATGCCCAAACTGAAATTGAAGATTTAAAGCGTCGGGTTGAAGTTTTGAAACGGGAAAAAGTAACAATGGAAAATGAGAAAAAAATTATGACCGAGTTAAATAGCGATTGGGACTCCAAATACAAGAACCTTGCTAAAGAGTTCCATACTTCCCAAATTCGATGTGAAGAGCTTCAAAAAGAAATCAACACATACAAATTTGAAATAAGCCAGTTCCAAAATCAAGCTTCAACTATTGAAAAAAAATACAATGAATCGGGCCAGTCAATGAAAGACTTAGAAGCTCGATTAGAAACCGCTCTTCGAAATACTGCTACGCTTAAAAACGAACTTAACGAGGAAAAATTACGACTGAAAGAAGCTAAAAAAGATAACGAAAAACAAGTTCGTGAACTTTACAAAACTATTGAGGAATATGGAAAAACAATTAAAGAAAAAGAAACAACTATTGAAGAAATGCGAAGCAAAAAAGGAAACAATGAACAAGAAAGTGATCAACTCAGATGGCAACTGACCAAGAGTAAAGACGATCTAAAAGAGGTAAAAAATTTTATGACTTAGAAGTAAATATAGAAAAAATAGAATAGATTAGTTTAACATATTTCATTTTAGGGCTAGCAATGCAATTCCCAAAAGTATTGTTATTAGATTTTAATTATTATTTATACTATTTTACCCATGCTGAAACAGAGTTTGATTAATCGAGGCTAAAAGAGTTTAACTTTCACTTTGAGTTAAAACTTAATGTCTGATAAAGCATGTACAGGAAAATGACTTTTAGACTTTAATGTAATAATAAAGTTTTCGCGTTTTACCACTAATAGTTATTTATTAACGTATTATTGCTATCGACATTATTATTATTGTTATTGGTATTAATATAACTGTTATTGATGTTATTATTATTATTGTTGTTATTATTGTTATTACTTTTATTATTACTATTATTATTATTGTTATAATATCAATATGGTTATGTAATACAAATACAAACATTTTGAACCATTTAGGTGCAAAAGGAGCGCGATCAACTCAAAGAGAAAGTTCAACAAAATCAAGCCGTAATTGCAAAACTCGAGAAATCAGCTGAAAAGTTCAAACACTTAAGAATTACCATTGAAGAAGAACACAGAATTGTTGTAGAAAAATATGTTAAAGAGATTAAAGAAATTACTATAAAGTTGATTAAGGTATTATTATGGCTTAATATTTAATAACAATTTCAATAGCGTATAATTTTTTTTATCCGTGTTTACAGAAAGATCTAAAGTAGGATTATTTTTTTATAAAACCATTTTAGTAATTTGGTTGAAAGTAATTAACTTGAAACTTTATTAATGCACAACAAAAATAAAATTTAGGTAGAAAAAGAACTCCAAAAAGCAACAGAATTAAACAAAACTGAAAACGATGAACGCTACAAACGTCTTCAGCATTTGTTACAAGATGAACGCGATGAATTCCGTCAAAAACTACACGCTAAAGAACACGAAGTTGACTCTTACAAAATAATTGTTTCTCAAAAGCAGGAAAAAATACGTAAATTAAAAAGAACTATAGTTGATCTTGAAGCTCGCATTGCGCAACAATCTGCGACACATTCGTCGTCTATGCTCATCTCAACAAAGCCACACCTAAAGCACGAGAGCAAGTATTTTCATGAAACTTCAGAAATCATTGTAGGGCAGCGAAGACAAGATGTTCCCCATCAAGAAAGCAAGTACTTTCACGAAACTTCTGAAATTCATATAAGCAAACAACAAACAGGAAGTATCTCACAAGAAAGCAAGTATTACCGTGATACTGCACAAGTACAAGTTGTCCCAAAGCGAATCGAGAGTAAGAAATGATTCTTACTTTATAAGTACACACACGCACACCACGCACACGCACATTTATATATATATATATATATATATATATATATATATATATATGTATATGTATATATATATATATATATGTATATATATATATATATATATATATATATATATATATATATATATATATATATATATATATATATATATGTATATGTATGTATGTATATATACATACATACATATACATATATATATATATATATATATATATATATATATATATATATATATATATATATATATGTATATGTATGTATGTATATATACATACATACATATACATATATATATATATATATATATATATATATATATATATATATATATATATATATATATATATATATATATATATATATATATATATATATATATATATATATATATATATATATATATATATATATATATATATATTCAGGCTCAGAAACTTCCATTTCAATTCCCCTTCAAACACCGTTCCGACCTCAGACAATAGTTGTTGCAGGTGACGAAGAGGTTCAAAAAGAAGAAAATCTTTTTAAAGAGCAACAGATAGTTATAAAAGACGATTCAAAAGTTTATCAAGAAGAGCAAAAAGTTGTTAAAGAAGAACAGAAGATGACAACAACTACAACTGTCAAGTCTTCTACTGTAATAAAAGCAACAACTCAACAGCAGAAACAGGAAGCTGTCACTGTCAGCAAAGGTGAAGGAAAGAGTAAACAGCCTGCTATCACTGGAGTTACTATAAAAAAAACAAAGGATCAGCGTTAGAAATGATGCGCTTTAAATGAAGTTTATCAAAAACTAGTCGGAAACTACGAATACATTTTATATTTATGACAAAAAGATCTATAAGGCATCAAGTTGGAAAACACTATTTGTTTTTTAAATAAAAAAAACACAAAATTCTGCTTAGTTAGATATCTTAATAATTTATGTGTGTAGATGAAAATTATATACTACAGAATAAGATTTTTTTTAATGAAATTTTTTAATGAAGTTCGAATGTATTCTTTTAATACGTATTTAAGTTTGTGTAATTGTTTTCCATATATGGTCATCCCAGAAATCCATATATGATGATTTTAGCGGAAAGTTTTACATAACTTTTTGAATTTTGTAGATTTTCAAGTTTCTTTTTGCAAATATTTACATTGATTTTTATTCGTTTTAAGTTTTAATTACATTATTATTGTTCTATATCACTAACACACAAATTAATACGTGAACCATTTGTATTTAATTTTGGAAGCAATAAAAAAAGTTCACTTGGAGTAATATTATTCTTTCGTTGTTCACTTTGACTTAAGAATAAGTCGACGTTTGATGCTTTATTCTAATTGATTTTTTTATTGAGAAAAACAAACCTTTGAAATAAATATGTTGTGTTTAAAATATTAAAAAAAAACAATTTAATTCAAAAGCGTTAAGCGCTTGTTAAGCCAAGTCAGTAATCGAATTAAAAATTGAGCTTTTAGTAACTAAAACCTTCAGAAAGTTTAATATAACAATTAAATGTTTTTTGTCTTCGTAAAACAGTCTTTCGGTTAAATAAAGATTTCGCAATAATTGAATTAATGTGCCTTCTAAACTGCCCTACTTTAAAAAACTATAATAAAATAAAAATATTTTTGTTTTTAGGATAATACTGATACTTATACAGAGTAAAAAAAAGGTAGAAGACTATAACTTTAAGGTAGAAGACTATAACTTTAAGGTAGAATATTGTAGAATATTCCCGGTTTAATAACATGGTGTCTTTAAGCTAGGCTAAAAACAAGTAATAAGTGCTACTTGCAAATAAAATTGGCTATTACAGCTAATCTTTCACGTTTAAATTTCAAAAAAAAAAATTGTGGGGCATGTAGAAAAATGTAGTTTTGACGTCAAAAAAAGTTGTGACGGGAAAAGGCAGGACAGGAGCTCAAAAAATGATTTTTTATTTTAATATCTTTTTTTTCTATTATTTTAAACATTTTTTGTTTTTTTTGAATAAATCTTCAAATTGCGGTTAATATATTTAATATCATGTACTCCTACAATTGATAATATTGATGAAGAATTTAGACTATCAATGATAAAATTTCTGATATGATGATGGTTATCAATGATAAGAATTTTTATATGATGAAGCTTATCAATGAGGAGTTTTCTTTTATGATGAAGGTTATCATTGATGAGTTTTCTGATTGGTAATTTGAGCTTAAATTGTTGTTGCTTTTTTTTATATTTTTTTTATTAACTATTTAAATGCTCCAAAAAGTCGAGATAAGTGATATCGAATGATACATATATAGTCAGAGCTTCAAACAAGTAAAAAACTCTAATCACTACGCCCACTAAGTTGTTTTAAGAATTCAAAAAGTTTAATCGGTTTTACAATGGGTTATTCGAAAATGGAGCAATATAATAGACAGACCAACTAGAACTACACAACTGTTAACTTTCTTATAAGGATGTTAATCACTTTTAAGGATGTTAATCTTAATAACTTAAGGAAGTTTTTTAATAATTCTCTTAAAAAAGGCATTGTTAAAAAGAAAATATAAGGTTACTTTTCTATTTTCTTCTCTATAGAATATGTAACGAAAAAAATCGTCAAAAAAAAGTTTCTGGATTTTTATTTATGATAAGTTTATCATAAATAAAAATCTAGAATCGTTTAAATATAAATTTTCTCTACAGTCAAATAGTAAATAATCTAAGTCTAAAAGTCAGCAATATTAACTTTTCTGAAGATATTAACTTAATTTACAAATCTTTTTTCAAAACTTTTTATTAAATTTACACGACATTGGTTTTCCCAAAGAAGAGCCAATTATTAACACAAAAAAACTAAATTGCCACGAATTACCATGGGTATTCAAATATCCTCTAAAATTAAACAAAAAATTTATATAAAATATTTAAAACCAAAAATAATTTGAGAGCCAAACCATACACAAAAGTTGCATTAGATTATTTGAATGCCGAGGGTAAAATTACAACAAAAAATAAAAATAAGAAAAAGATTATGGTATATATATGGTATATATCATGGTATATATAGCATATGGTATATATCATTAAAATGAAAAGATTATGGTATATATATCAATATGGTAGCCAATAAAAAGATTATCAAAATAATTTATCTCTTGCTCCAAAGGAAATTGCTACTTAATTCGTACCTGTAGGACCAAGCCCAGGGCCGTTTTTGGAGCGTCGTAGGCTCTAGGCACTTTGCATAAAAATGTAGCTGTAGGCCTTTCATTCAATTTAAATGTCATGTACACGTTATTCAATTTACATTGTTTTTTAATTTTTGTATGTAGTCGTTAATGGGCCTACAGTCGCTGTTTGTTTGGTTATTCTGTATCTGTACACATGTTATGCCTTAAAGAAATTAAATTGTAACCATTTCATTAATTGCATTTCTCTCACTATCATTACTTTTGTTATGATCATGAAAAGCCATTAAAAATTTAGCAATCTATGGTTTGTTATTTGTTTTAAAAGTTTGTTTAAATTTATCAATAGTTTGCATTTATTTAAAAATGAAATTCTCAGAATTCCACTTATTATTTTAAAAAGTACGATTTTATTTGGTAGGTATTTTATTTGTTATGATTACGTTTGGTAGGTATTTTATTTGTTATGATTACGTATTATTGTAAATTATTAATAAGTTTTGTGAAATGTAATGTTTTATGGAATGTATTTAAATGTTTTCCCCCTCTTTAAATAGGTTAACATATTTTATTTTATTTTTATGTTTTATGTTTATTCTATATTGAATATTTACTATAATTTTCAAGTCATGTCCAATGGCGATGGGTACAAGAGAAAGCACGAGTCTGGCTATATTAAACGGCAGAAAAAGAAAAGGAAAGAGGATGCATTAAATACAATTTAATATACTAATTGTATAGAATTTATTAAAAAACTTCTTAAAGAACTTCTTAAAGAAAACGTATTTGTTTAACAAAGCTTATCAGAAACTAGGTGGTACTCTGGAAGTGATGCCACAAGAGCTTTCTATGCAAATTACTTGCAAATTCGTCAAGCATTATGTGAAGTCACTAACAGCAAACATCAACCACCAGCAGCTGTTCATGAAGCGAAATCACTGGTTAAACATTTAGACTACTTTGAAAGTGCGTTAATGTGTGTGATTTGGAAAGATTTACTTCAAAAGATTAATATTGTCAATAAAGCCTTACAGGAGCCGGGTATTGAGCTGTGCACCATCATTAAACTGTACGATGGTCTCATACAGTATTTTCATGATACACGCAGTAAGTTTGAAAAATTCGAAGGCCAGGCAAAAGATCTCACAGAATCTGATTACAAAGAAGCTACACAACGCAATACAGAAACGATTTGATGACGAAGTTATGGATACAAGTAATCCCAGTTTAAATGTTAGTGTCAGTGATAATTTCCGTATTAAACAGTATTACGTTATCATACACAGACTTAATAATGAGATGGAAAAACGCAGAGCAGCTTATAAAGTATTGTACAAAAGGTTTAACTTTCTTCTTGACAACAGATCTTTTTCGAGTGAGGAAGCAGTGGCTAAAAAAAAGGCACTAATTCAGTTGTATCCATCAGACCTCGAAGACGAATTTACCGGTGAGTTTTTGCTGTTTTCTCAAATGTTTAGTGATGGTAAATCCGGTGTCTGATAAGATTAAGCTGCAAATAGACAATAGTTGCAAGTTTTCCAAATGTTAATATCGCTTTCAGGATTTATCTCTCTATATTAGGCACAAATTCAGAAGGTGAACGTTCTTTTTCAAAATTAAAACTGATAAAAAAACTATCTGCGTTCAACTATGGGACAAGCCCGACTATCCTCCCTGGCACTGCTATCAATTGAAAATGAAGTAATGCGGGAGATGACATTTGAAGATGTTATAGCTGATTTTGCAAATACCAAAAGTCGAAAAGTGTCATCTAATTATATTATTTGATTATAAACATTTTTATCAATTATGAATATTATGCTGCATCTGTATGATTGTTTTATTAATGAAATAAAAAACACTTTAAAATTTCTTTTTTTTTTCATTACTTTTGTAGGCCCCTGTAGATTCGTAGGCTCTAGGCACAGTGTCTTTAGTGTCTAATGGATAAGATGGCCCTGACCAAGCCGACCAAAAAAAAATTACTAAATCTAAAAGTTCAATAATATATTTCAATTATCTTTTTAGATATATTTCCATCGTATCTAAACTTTTTTGAATGATATGAAGAGTTCGAATGATATGAAGAGTTCGAAATTCGCTTTTAAAATGTTAACGTCAAATAAAGAAGTTGACCCTGATAATAATAATGGGAATATCATTATAAGTTCTTTTGATGATTTAAAAGTCATATTTTTAAAGAATTTTAAATGTTCTTCTAAATAGAGAATTTTTGTCATAATCTAAAAATATAAAAAAGTTTATAGTACCCCTAAACTGAGTGGCGTTCAAACTTTATATAGTCATAGTTTTTGAACGTAAGAAATTTTTGTATGAAATTTAAAACTTATTAATGAATATAAATTAAGTTTAGTAAAAGTAAAAGTAACGTAATTAATTGTAAAAAAAATATTTTACTAACTTGTTGCTCTCACGTTAGGACAGTTGTGTCTAGAATCTTAGGGCTTTTTTGTTATATATATATATATATATATATATATATATATATATATATATATATATATATATATATATATATATATATATATATATATATATAATACATAGACAACAAAAAATTTATATATATATGGATATACATATACATACATACACACACACAATCACAGGGCCATCCCGAAGAGATTTTAAAGGAGGAGGAGGGGGGTTTGACGTATCTGATTTTTGACGACTATTAAGAAAAACTTTTTTGCCGACTAAGATCTAAAGTTAAAAAAAAAAAAAGGTTCTCGTTAGCTGACATTTGCCGACTGCCAACTATAGAACAATTTTGCTGACACCAGTGTCCAATATGCGACTAAATTTACTAAATTTAGTAGAGGGGATAGATACCCCAAATTGAACAACAGTATATGTGGAATATATATATTCAAACCATATTTATAAAGAAATAAAAGAAATAGACAAACGTCTAAAAAATTTAAACCTTGTTTAGCTAGTTTTTCACCGCTTTTAAACAGGTACTTGATTTTATTTATGCAATGTAATAATATTAACTATTAAAGACACAGCTTGCGTTCTCTTCTTAAATAATCTTAACTCAATTTAAACAACATCAATGTTACTACATATACAATTCCAAA